TCAAAAGTCGTCTTATACGCTGGAAAATACGGTATGTCTTGTCTTCTTTTGGGGGTTTGTCTGCATTTTCTACACAAAAGAAATACGTGTTACTTTGTATATTTGATTCCTAGAGCTGCCAGAGCAAATTACCATAAGATGGATGACTAACATCAGAAACTTTTTCTCTCTCGGTCTGGAGGCTCTGAGTCTTAAATCAAGGCTGTCAGCTGGGCCACGCTCCCTTCCTCGCCTCTTCCCGCTTCAAGTGGCTTCCCACTTCCTCGGCTGGAGTTCACACTGCCCACATGTCCTTCTCCTCTGTGTGTTTGCCTCTGTGAGTCTGTCTGTAACGGCCCCTGCTTCTCCCTTGTCAGGACACCTGTGGCTCCGTTTAGGGCACCCACTCAGATAATCCATAGAAAGCTCTGCCTCTCTCGCCCCCTAACTTAATCACATCGAATCACATGCTATAACAGGTCCAGACTTGGGGGCTTTGGCATAGGCATGTCTTTTGGGGGGCTACCTTTAGGCCCATTCCACTTTATCATTAACCAGAACAAATGTGTGTTTTTTAATATATGTTATTAATTTTTTTACAGAGAGGAAGGGAGTGGGATAGGGAATTTAGAAACATCGATGAGAGAGAAACATTGATCAGCTACCTCCTGCACACCCCTTACTGGGGATGTGTCCGCAACCAAGGTACATGCCCTTGACCGGAATCGAACCTGGGACCCTTCAGTCCCCAGGCCCACGACAAACTGGCTAGGGCCAAAACAAATGCTTTGTTTTCCTTTTAGATATTCACTCCTTTGTATGTTAGTGTCGCCCAGAGGCCAGTGCCTGGTTCATGATAGACACCAAGTATTTACTGAGGGAACAAGCGAACTACCCAGAGCAGATGGTGTGTTCAGGATGAGAAACTTAGGTGACTTGTCTCCTTTTTTTCTTTTTTTTCCTACAGTTTTCAGATGCTATTTTCTTCTTTTTTTAGTCATACTCTAAGAATTGTCCTTCTAAAGCTAGGGCAGTGGTCGGCAAACTCATTAATCAACAGAGCCAAATACCAATGGTACAATGATACTTTTTCTTTTGAGAGCCAAATTTTTTAATTTACTTAAACTTCTTCTAACGCCGCTTCATCAAAATAGATTTTCCCAGGCCATGGTATTGTGTGGAAGAGCCACACTCAAAGGACCAAAGTGCCACATGTGGCTCGTGAGCCACAGTTTGCCAACCAGGGAGCTAGGGAGATAAAATCTTCCTGTAGCCCAATATGGTAGAACAGAATCAGGGAATCAGGTTTTCGTGGTTTGGGAAAACCTGACTCTCTGATTGGTCTCCTTCTGAGCACTTTCTATTCTGCAGCCACCCCAAGGCAAGTAGAACCAGGGATGACATTTCCGAGAGGCTCTTTCTGATCACTCGCCCTTCTCCCTTCGGGCACGGGGAGTGTTGGTGAGAACCACAGCAGAGGTTAGGCACCGAAAGGTAAAATTTACCACCTAAGAATTCCTTCAGTCCTACACGCTACTTAATCTCGTTTGAGTTCATAGCATTGAACCTCCCAAGGTCTAGCTCAGGAACAGCAAATAGTTGTGCCTATCCTCTGCCTGCCCACGCCCCCACTCCTCACCTCCACTACCCATATACACACAGAAGGCACTGCTAAGAGAGCGTGTCCCTCTTTATACATAACATCAGAATCCCAAACACAGCTCTTCTGGAAGCCATAGTTGTCGGTTTAATTTGGCGTGTGAGACAAAAGCCATTTTCCAGTCCTCATCTCGCCTGTGTCTTGATCACCAAGAAACATCTATTGAGCTCAGGATGTGCACAAGGGTTTGCAGTCTCGGTGTGGATTCAGGAAAGGTACAATAAGAAGTTACAGGCAGTGCCAGGTAGCCAGTGCTAAGGGCTGAGCACATGATGGGTTAACACGGTGGTTGGCAAACTCATTAGCCAACAGAGCCAAATATCAACAGTATGATTGAAATATTTTTTGAGAGCCAAATTTTTTAAACTTAAACTTCTTCTAATGCCACTTCTTCAAAATAGACTCGCCCAAGCTGTGGTATTTTGTGGAAGAGCCACACTCAAGGGGCCAAAGAGCCGCAGGTGGCTCGTGAACTGTGATATGCCAACCACGGGCTTAACGTGTTGAAGGAGCGTAAATGTCAGTGAAGAAGCTGATGGTCCTGAGAAGGCTGCTGCAGGAAATCAGACCCCAGGGAAACCCTGAAGGGAAAATAGAATGCATGTAAGTGGAGAAAAATGGAGACAAAAGTTCAAACTTAAAGGAGAGTATGATCTAAAGACTGGGGACACTTAGGAATGCATGGGCTGTCTTCGGGGAACAGAGGTCAAATCATCTTAGCTAATAGATCATTCCGGTGATGTTAAGTTCAAATGTCAACCTCTCCGAGAGACCTTCCCATACCCAACTCAAGGAGCTTATATTCTATAGAAGAAGGGCTGGCCCACAGGGTGCCTCTGTATAAATTACACCAAAGGTCTCTGCTGGGTGGACATAGTTGGTCAGGCAGACCTCCCCCTAATGCTACCTGGGTAATGGCATCTTCACTGGAAGTGTGGGCCCTTCCTGGAAAAGCAGCTTGGAAGGCAGACTCTGGCTGGATTTTCACCTCGTCCCCCTTGCTGTACCCTGGGATTCGCCATCAAGCTGTGGATTCAGGAACGACACCCAAAGGAACAAGGTAACATCTGGCCCAGGTTCCTTGTGCAGTGAGCAACCTGCATGGCCCGTAGTTGATGCCCTGAAGATAGTCCACAAGCAAAGAAATATACACTGAGTGGCCAGATTGTGATGATTTCCAAATGCATAATATTTGGAGATATATATATCTGGCCACTCAGAGTGTGTGTGTGTGTGTGTGTGTGTGTGTGTGTGCAAGTATGTATCTCAGTGCATGAATTCGTACACTGGTGGGGTCCGGCCAGCCTGGCCATGGGGAGGGGACATGGGTGGTTGGCCGGCCAACCTGCTGGTCAAATTCCTAATAAGGAGACAATTTGCATCAATTTGCATATTTACCTTTTATTATATAGGATATACACTGAGTAGTCAGATTATTATGCATTCAAAGATCATAATCATCTGGCCACTCGGTGTATAAGTAAATACAATGTTAAGTAGTGGAAAGTGCTAGATAAAGAAAACTAACATGGCCGAAACTGGTTTGGTCAGCGGTAGAGCGTCAGTCTGTGGACTGAAAGGTCCCAGGTTCGATTCCGGTCAAGGGCATGTACGTTGGTTACGGGCACATCCCCGGTAGGGGGTGTGCAAGAGGCAGCTAGTCGATGTTTCTCTCTCATCAACATTTCTAGCTCTCTCTCTCTCTCCCTTACTCTCTGTAAAAAAATCAATAAAATATATTTTAAGAAAAGAAAACTAACATGAAGTGAGGGGAGTAGTGGCCATATTGCATAATTGCAGTAGTCTCACTGTAGGTACTGTGGTCCATGCAAAGGGCGCTCCAGGGGACTGAGCCACACAGGCCAGGACAGACCTCTCCTATGGAGAGGTAAGAAGAGAGGAAGAGATCTGAGAGAAGAAGCGCAGGAGGGGAGGGGTCCACGGGACGTGGTGGCTGGCTTGGGGCAAGGACGCTGAGGAATGAGTAGGAAAGGTGACTTCAGGCTTTCCTGCCTGAGGAACTAGGGAAATGATGGCGCCGCTCAAATCTGCCTACTTACTGAGCCTGCCCGAGCGGGTGGCGTAGGGAACCCCCCTGAGAAAGAGGCCCAGTCTCCCCAGGATTTCCCAGGGCGTGTCCGGTGGAACATGAGCTGAGTCCTATGCTAATGGCTGTTACTGGGAAAAGTGGCTCCCATGTCCGGGCAATGCTGGGTAAGCAGAACCAAACAGGTTTCTTTCCTGGACGGCTCCTTGGAGGTACTACTGGACTAGCATGCTCTGTGACTCTCACACGGAAATGCAGGCGGCAGTCCATCCTGCCTGAGCTGCTGGGAGACATTTCTCTTCCCAAGAGGTTTCAGGAGACAGACGTTCCCCCTCCCCGCAGAGGAGGGCTGTGCTCTAGACCATTGGTCGGCAAACTGCGGCTCGTGAGCCACATGCGGCTCTTTGGCTCTTCCACAAAATACCATGACCTGGGCGAGTGAGTCTATTTTGAAGAAGTGGCGTTAGAAGAAGTTTAAGTTTAAAAAATGTGGCTCTCAAAAGAAATTTCAATCGTTGTGCTGTTGCTATTCGGCTCGGTGGACTCATGAGTTTGCCGACCACTGCCCTAGACAAAGGCCAGCTGGGCCAGAGTAGAAGGCAGTCAGACAGGGTGGTGGGGAGGCCAAGCTGAGAGAAAGAAGGGAGCCCCGAGAGAGACGGAAGGCTCCCCAACTGTGGGGGCCCACAATCTCCCTGAGGAAGAGCTGCCTGAGGTGTCCCCACAGGCCTGGCTTCACCCAAGCTCCAGGGTAACCTCTGAGTCAGCCTCCGCAGGGCCCAGCGCAGCCTCTGACTGGCTAAGGCGGGTCCCTGACCTCCCGGGGCCTCCACTTACCCTTCTATAAAGTGAGGGAGCAGCGATTACCCTTGCTCTCCCGGGTTGCACCAGGCGCTGCTAATTACTGCTTGGCAGAGTGCTGGGATGCTGACAGGCTCTGTCTGACACATTTCTCCGTGGCTTCTCCAGACACCACGCCGACCTCCGGGGAGACCACGGCCCGGTGGTGCCTGGCAGCTGGCTCAGCCCTCGGCAGCCTTCGGGGAGCAAGCAGGTGTCTCCCGAGGTCTCTGCCGCTCCCTCTGGTAGCGCCCACCAGAACCAGAGGCTTGCCTAGCCTTCTGCCACCGTGTGGGCACTGTGGAGGTGGGCGCCCCACCTGCCGGCTGTCAACCTGGGACCCGGCTGCATCTGGGAGCCTCCTCGGGGCTGGGACACCCAGAGGAGGGGTCCCAGGCCTGGAGGCAGCCATGCGGTGTCCTTCTCGTTGAGGAGAGGGGGTCCCCTCAGCCGGGGCCTTCTCTGAGTGGAGCGATGACCACAGCAGAGGACCTGCGCCCAGCCCAGGCAGGAGGCACCGGTGAACGGAGGTAGGTGCTGAGCATCCGTGTGTGCAGAAGGGAAAGGGCACCTGGCAGGGGAGCAAACACTGGCATCCAGTGGGCAGCTCTGGCCTTGCCCCGATCCTCCCACCACGGAGGAAGAGTGTACCTTCTTTCAAGGGCCCAAGTGACCTTGAGGCTTCTTTCTGTGCTGTTGGGGAGTCGGTAAAGCAGCTCATGGCGCCCCGGAGTCCAGGCCGCAGGCCACGGGACAGCTGTGCAGGGGGCCAAGCGCAGGCCTGGCCCTGGAGACCAGGTGGGGAGATGAGAAGTTGTGGGCCTGCCTGTGTGATTGGGGAATGCCAGGGTGATCACCTGCAGAGTGGGGTCACAGCAAGGTACCCCTCCTTCCGATGGCTGCTTCCAGGACTCACTCCTGCGTATTGGCCATTTCCCCGTAAACCTGTTGTTCGTTTTAATCCACATCTGGGTGATGGTGTTTGTGCCGCAGTGCTTTCTGCTCCTTTCAAAAGTATCCCCTTAGGGAGCAGGCTTTTCCTATCACCTTTGTCTAAAGGATATACAATGAATGGGAGCGTGTTGGGACCCATGCCTCCAGGCTCGTGCCATGGAACCTCACATTAAAATTTGGTTGGAAAGTCATCCCGTATACCAAAAGGTTGCAGGTTCGATGCCCAGTCAGGGCCTGTGTGGGAGGCAACCAATCGGTATTTCTCTCTCTCTCTCTCTCTCTCTCTCTCTCTCTCTCTCTCTCTCTCTCTCACACACACACACACACACACACACACACACACACACATTCCCTTTCTAAAAATCAGTAAGGCCAAAACCGGTTTGGCTCAGTGGATAGAGCATCGGCCTGCAGACTGAAAGGTCCCAGGTTTGATTCCGGTCAAGGGCATGTATCGATACCTTGGTTGCGGGCATATCCCCAGTAGGGGGTGTGCAGGAGGCCGCTGGTCGATGTTTCTCTCTCATTGATGTTTCTAGCTCTCTATCCCTCTCCCTTCCTCTCTGTAAAAAATCAATAAAATATATATTTAAAAAATAAATAGATAAATAAATAAAAAATAAATAAATTTTTAAAAAGGTGAGGATAAATATATATATATATATATATATATGTAGACCTCCTAATTCCTAGAAATCAGGAATCTAGTCCCAAGGAAGAAATGAGATTTAGGGAATGATGCCAGGGGCTCGTCCAACTCAGTTTTTAGCCCCCATCCCCAACCACGACCTCCCACCCTCTTTTGAAAGCCATGACTGCCTTTACCCCAGTGTGTTACCAAGTGACTTGTCAGTGTCAGAGGAGTCCTGCAAAGAATCCCCGGCATGTCATTAACCTCATTCCAACGTGTAATTACCCTAAAAAGCCTCCTCGCTGCCTCCATTCAGCGTTACATCATAAAGAAGCAAGTATTTTACTACCTGCAGGACACCGGGAACTCTTTAAAGAGTTAATTATGGCTCCCTGGAGCCTGTCCCCAAGAGCCCAGGACCCAGGAACTAAACCCTGTGTCTTTTCAAGTGTCCGTCTGCGAGACAGCCTTCACTCACAGCCACTTCCTCCTTGGAATCTGAGCTTGACATTGGTGTGAAAATAGACCCACCGAGACACGCAGCGGTGGGCTCCCTGGAGGAGGTCACCTGACTTGGGCCCTTCCCCCAGGGTTAGTCAGTGTTTCCACAGATACCATCAGTACAGCGTCGGGCAGAACAGAGAGCCACGGGGAGCTGGAATTCTCCTTACCCGCCCGGTTCCATGAGGCGAATCCAGCTGGAGCCATTAGTAATCTCTGAGCTAGAGAGACCAGCAGCGTGGCCAGAGTTCAAAGGGAGTTCAGGCCTAATCTGGACGTTATAATCTGAGTCCATCAAACCACGCAGGCTCTGAGGACATTATTATCAGTCAAGTGTAATTATAGATAAAATAGTTTTATTAATCAGCTTCCTAAGGGGACTGTTTATCTGATGATGGCTGTACAGGACAGTGGGGGCCGGGGGACTGTGCTGTGTGCAGTGGGTCTGCAGGGAGGAGAGTCTATGGCAGTGGTCGGCAAACTCATTAGTCAGCAGAGCCAAATATCAACAGTACAACGATTGAAATTTCTTTTGAGAGCTGAAAACCGACTTCTGCGCATGGGCCACAAAGTTTCAATCGCACTATACGTGCTAGTCCGCACGTGGTATTTTGTGGAAGAGCCACACTCAAGGGGCCAAAGAGCCGCAAGTAGCTCTCGAGCCTTGGTTTGCCGACCACTGGTCTACGGGAAGGAGAGAGGCTGAGAGCGTGTCTAGGAATTCTGTGCATGACGGATGGAAGTCTTTGTGGGAGCATTGTTGGCCAGTGCGTACGTGTGTTTGCTCAGGTTCTTGCAACTGGACTTGTTTCTCCTCTATCCCTTGGCTTTGTCATAATTCTTTTTTTTTTTTTAAATATAGACTTTTCCTTGCCCAGTCAGCATGGCTCGGTGGTTGGGCATTGACCTATGAACCAGGAGGTCACGGCTTGATTCCCTGTCAGGGCACATGTCCAGGTTGTGGGCTTGATTCTCAGTGTAGGGCGTGCAGGAGGCAACCGATCAATGATTCTCTTTCATCATAGATGTTTCTATATCTCTCTCTCCCTCTTTGAAATCAATAAAAATATATTTGAATATATATTTTTAAAAATGGACTGTTCATATTTGTACTTAGCTGGAGTTTATGGAGATTCCAATTACAGGTGCCCACTTTAGCCACCAATTGTCAGCCAATTTTTCAAATCTCACTCCAGACCTATGTTGGCTTGTCTTAAATGTCCATGGCCATAAAGCAGTTTGTCAGCTGCAAGAGATCCTACAAGGGTAGTGCCCCTCCTGAGTATTGTCTGGCCTGACTTTATGTCAATGCCACTCACCTGAAGTCAGGAGGAATGAACTCCTTGGGGCCGAGACATTGAGGGTCTCCCCCGTAATGTCACCAGCTCTACTTTAAACTTAATTAAATATTAGTGGTCAAGGCTCAGTTGGTTCCCCTACAGAGAGAGGTGAGCAACTTCCCAGAGACTGGGGAACCGGCACAGAACCAGCCTGGTCCTCTCTGTCCGGTCACCTCCTGTCTACTGGCAGCATTCGATACCCAGAGCAGCCCTCTTTCGGCACAGCCTGTATGTGCTGGCCGATTGTGCAACTTACTGCTTGCTCTACTGGAACACTTGACCCCAATTGATTATTTCCTCCTTCAGGAGGCCTTTTGAAAAACCTGTCCTCTGCCTCAACACGGAGGGACTGCCTGAACTTTGCCCAAAGTGACAGCTGCAGCCCGGGGTGGATACAACCTGGAAACCAGGAAAACCCAGCAGCTGTTTCCTTCCCACACTCCCATGGGTGCCACCGAGGGATGAACTCACCAAAGCCCCACTGGTAAAGCTCTGCAGAAAGATACGAAGTGGGCCAGCTGAAATCTCTATGGTCTTGTGACAGGTCTGTTGGCCATGCTACAAAGTGGGCGGTTGAGATTCCTGGATCTTCTTGGCTCCCAGAAGGACATATTGGAGCTCAGAAAAAAGGGGTGGATGACGGAATGAGCATGTCACAAAAGCATTGCTCCATTTAAGATAATTAAATCTGTTGGTCAAACAGAGTGTCCTTCTCCTAACTCCCAAGGCTGATAAACTTTTGATAGATACCGGATAATTGATTGAAAATGAACAAATCGGTAGATGAATGTCTACTATGTGCAAATGCCTGCATTATTTCCATTAATCTAGTGAGCACCTAATATTATTCTCAGTTTGCTGATTAAAAAAGTGAGACTTGAGTAAGTTTAATAATAATAATAATAATAATAATCGGAAGAATAAAAAGAATACCCATTATTTCTCAAGAATTTAATATGTGCCAGTCATTGAGCTAAGTACTTTTTATATTACACTAAAGGCCTGGTGCACAAAACTTGTGCACAGGGAGGGTTCCTAGGCTTGGCTGGCAATCAGGGCCCATTGTGGCCTTCCCGTTGCTGACTGTGGCCTTGCTTCATTCCATGCCACCTCCTGGTGGTCAGGTTACATCATAGTGAGCCATTGAACTCCTGATCTCCCATTGAACTCCCAAGGAGAAACTGCATATTAGCCCTTTATATATATATATAGATAAGCACTATGTTAAGACCATTCTCCGACATCCCCTGAGGGTCCCAGATTGCGAGAGGGCGCAGGCCAGACCAAGGGAGCCCACTGGTCCACAGCTGGGGCCAGGGAGGGACGAGGGAGGTTGGCCAGCCAGGGAGGGACCACTGGAAGGCTCCAAAGCATGACTGGCCCATCTCACTCAGTCCCGATCAGCCAGACCCCAGCAGCAAGCTAACCGAACTGTCAGAGCATCTGGCCCCTGGTGGTCAGTGCACATTATAGCAAGCAGTTGAGCAGCTTTAGCATGTCATTAGCATATTACGCTTTGATTGGTTGAACGAATGACCGGTCAACCAGACATATTAGCTTTTATGATATAGGATTATCTCACTTAATCCTCACCACAAATCTATGAAGTTACAATTTATTTGCCCAGGTATTTGGGTGAAGAAACTGTGATTCAAGGAGATAATTAGATGGCTACCAAGTGATAGACATTTGAACCCACATCTATCAGACTCAAGACCCAGTGCTCTTTCGAACACCGGCTTTACTTTAGCTACTGTCTCATCTGGCTTTTGCCCTTAGCACATCAAGATTACTGCCTCACCTGAGGACATTCAGCTAAGTCCCACATCTCACTGTTCTGTGGAACCAAAGAGATAGTTGTCAACATAGAATGAAACGGACTTCCTCCATCTCCCGCCCCACGTTAAAAAGGGATTAAAACACAATTTTATGAAAAGAGACACAGGGGAAAGCGATGTCCAGGACCAAAAAAGACAGTTATCTTCACTTTAACTCCAATAGCTCAGCAATAATGTCACCTTGAGAAGTGAAACTTCCTCGTTGGAACCGCCCCACGTTTGCAAGTTTAAGGCACAGGCAAGTCCGTGTGGATGCGACCTTTTAG